TTAAAATGACAGTATATGATAATCTTAATAAATAGAAAATAAATAAATCCAAGAATAGGTATAAAATTGGCAGTCACTCAGGGAGCATCATCAAGGCACCAGCCACCCCCAGGATTGGGTAAGATCGTTGTCACCCCCCGCAAGCTGGCAGAGCCAGGTCTTTAATAAATTCATCATATAGCTTGAAAAATAAGGGGAGAGAATTCAGCCTTGCCTCAATTCTTTGCCATCATGGAGCCATTTCACCATCTTCTGTCTGTATTGTGACTTCCTGACCTGCATATAAGTTTTTCATGAGAACAATAGATGATCTGGGATTCCCATTTTTCTAAGCACATTCCATAGCTTGATGTGATCAACACAATCAAAGGCCTTCCTATAATCAATGAAGCACATACTGAGGGTTTTTTTGTGGGGGTGGTGGTGGTATTTTTTGACTTTCTTAATTATCCAGCAGACATCAGATATAATGTCTCGTGTTCCTTGGCCTTTTCTGAAGCAGCTTGAACATCTGGCATCTCTCTTTTTCACATAGGGCTCTAAAGTACATTAAATCAAATGAAATATAGTTTTTTTCTTTGCCTTTGGTTGGTATTTGGAGGCTTCTTGGAAAGTATCGGTTGATAGATGGTTAGGAATGGTGCTAGCTCTTTTCTGATTGGTCCACTAAGCAACCCCACAGAATCCAGATTCCACACAGATGGTAAATACTGCAAGGCAAACCTCACTTCTGAACCATTGCTTCGAAGTAGCCCTGGTGGAACACAAGGTGAAATGTCTGCAAAAATGTGATCTCTACTTTGATGTTGCTCTCCCTAAGCCCAGGGAACCCCAATTAAAAGTAAACATAGTTGCTATTTAAGCCATGTGTATTCTCACAATCTATGATTAAATGTCAAAGTAGCTTATAGAGTTGAGCAATGGGGCCTATTATATATGAAGGTGATGTTTCTCCAAAAGACCGATGGCACTAAGAAACAAGAAAATTTGCTTTACCCTGCTCAGCTTCTGCTTTGGCCAAACTCCTCTTTGGTGTGCACTGGCCTCCACAAATTACTTCTGGAAACAGGGGGGAAAACGTCTATACATCCCTGCAAACCTGAAAATCATTTTAACATTTATTAACAGTTCTGAAAAACATTTTAAATGACACACATATTTAAATATAATATACTTAAAATTGATTATTAGCAAACTAATTTTCAGTGGAAATTATTATTTGTTTTATGTTACAGTAAAAGTTGGTTATTGAAAGTAAAGGTCCATAGAAGTTTGTAGCTCTCATTGGTTTTATTGTTGGTTTTTATTACAAATGGATTGCTAAGGTATCATATCTAATCTTATTTTCTAAGATTCTGTCAATGGCAAACATAATCTTGTTTCTCTTCATTACAATGGAAGTTAATGAGTAGTGAAAAAGATTATGTGGTGGAGATGGATTCAACTTCTTTGCACAGGTATTGAAAAGAGCATTAGCCAAATAGCTCCACAATCACTGTGCCCTTTGAGAGGATATTAGTTTGAGTTTTACATGAGGTCATTGCTCTCAAAACTTTGTTTGCTGAAACATTGTATAATAGTACTTGAATCAAATCAAGCCTTTATTACGGTCAAAGACCAGCGTAAGGAGGGTGGAGTACAGTCAATTAGAAAGCATAGAAAATACATCAAAGTCTAATATCTATCTATCTATCTATCTATCTATCTATCTATCTATCTATCTATCATATAATAATTATGAAAAGCTAAAAGATATAAAACAGAAAGTATATATCTAAAAGGAATCTAAAAGGAGGTGTATTGATGTATTTTCTATGCTTTCTAATTGACTGTACTCCACCCTGCTTATGCTGGTCTTTGACCATAATAAAGATTTGATTTGATGATGATTTAGTACATGAATTAAACTGAAATAAATAAATAAATAAACTAAGGTCTATTATGCAAAACTCGGGAATTATGATTCATTCTAAATATTATCCTTAGGGGTCCTTGGTGCTCTCTGAGCTTGGTTGTTTGCTTGCAGACATTTCATTATCCAACTAGGTAACATCAGTGGCAAGGACTCCAGAGAGACTCAGAGAGCACCAAGGACTCCACAGTTCAACCATGAGCTACATATATTCTTTTCTATTGGATAATATACTTGATAAAATGGCCTTTTAGTTGTTGCTAAGCAGATTATGCAATAAGCTGTGGAGTCCTTGGTGCTCTATAAGCTTGGTTGTTTGCTTGCAGACATTTCACTACCCAACTAGGTAACATCATCAGTGAGAGTGAGTGTGGGGTTTGCTCCCCATCTATAAGTGAGTGTGGGGTTTGCTCCCCATCTATAAGTGAGTGTGGGGTTTGCTCCCCATCTATAAGTGAGTGTGGGGTTTGCTCCCCATCTATAAGTGAGTGTGGGGTTTGCTCCCCATCTATAAGTGAGTGTGGGGTTTGCTCCCCATCTATATACATCAGCTTGCCCTGCCACTGTATATAAACAGGGAGCAAACCCCACACTCACTCACACTGATGATGTTACCTAGTTGGGTAGTGAAATGTCTGCAAGCAAACAACCAAGCTTATAGAGCACCAAAAACTCCACAGTTCAACCAGCTACGTATATTCTCTTCTGTTGTATAGAATAAGCATCAGGCTGCTAAGTACATTTCAGTGGTTAAGGGTGATCTGTTAGCACACAAGTGGAATAAATGAGGTATGGTAGAATGAAGTTTTAGGAGACTTTCAGGAAGAGAAAGATTAAGGCTGGCTTCGCACATTGTACTAAACCAGTGTTGGAACCCAGACACTGTGATTTGTGCAACATGGTTTAGTCTTTCATGATGTATGGATCAAGCCACTGTAGCTTGTTCTAGAAACCATGGTTAAAAATCTCCTGAATTGCTGTTACATGAGAATCAGCCTGAAAGAAAGCTCTTATGTCTCAAGGCAGCAGTTTTTGTATTTTAGCTTTGTGTAGCTGATAAAATGAGATAGAAGGTGGTTGGAAAAGGTTATGGGGGAAAATGTGAAATTTTGGGAATGAGGTAGAGCCATTGTAGAATAAACACCTTATCAGGAAGAGCCAATCTAAACAAATTCCAACTGGCTAAAGGGAAGACATGAGCCTACTTTATAAACTGAATTTGAAAGACAAAATGAGACTATTTTTTTCTTATACGGGTAGAAAAATTTTACATTGGGTAAGGGGGGAAATATTATAACAATCAAAAGTTATAAAAGCAGTTGCTTATCCTGAACTGTAAGTGATTTATTCCCTGCTGGCATGAATATGTAGGTAGGAACAATGAGAAGTATCTTGACTTCTGCATTATATAATTCTTACAATATAAGGGCCCATGGGTATTTTGGGCACCATAATAATAGGCCTGTTTTATATATAATATAAATATATAGTATATAATATAAATAAATAGCATGCTGGTTGGGGAATTCTGGTAGTTGGTCCACACAGCTTGAAGTTGCCAAGGTTGAGAAACACTGGTTTAGTGGTTAAGGCACCAGGCTAGAAACCAGGAAACTGCAAGTTCTAGTCCCACATTAGGCATGAAAAGCAGCTGGGTGACTTTGGGCCAGTCACTCTCTCTCAACCCCTAATGTCAGACTTGAACGACAAGCCAGTCAGTCAATTCCTGTTGCAACCAACGGATCAACTGAATGTTCAGATCAACATGATCAGCATTCAGTTGATCCAAAAAAAAAAAAGCCAACCTTGCACATGGGAAAAATGCTAGGAAGAAAAAAAAATAGTCCTGTCATTTGAAAATAGAATGTGTTGTTTCATTATGCTAACATGGTTACTATCTTATGCATTGCTTATTGACTATAATGAGGCATTTGAAGAAAAAAAAAAGGTCAAGTTGAAAGTTGAAGCTGAAGCAATCGATTACTATTCTTTTTTAAAAAACAAAATACCTAGTTAGGCCCACGTTGTTTTAGAAATGATTTCCATTCTCCAGATGAATTAAATGGGAGCGCCCTCTACTGGATGTCATTATTGCAACTCTAAGAGTAAACTGTGAATGCCACTGGAATTGTATTGTACAGTAGCCAAGGGGCCACTGAGAAACACAAAGGATTATCAACATGATTTAGAATATCCCAAGATTCGCAGTATAGCAACAACAAAACTTTACACAAAAATAATCTAAAGGGATCTGCGTATTAAGAATTTAGAGTAAGTTGGAAAAACATTGAATCCGTGAAGTGTGAGGAGTAGAATGTTGAGTAGGGGTGGAATCCTAACTGGAATGCTTCTTTTAAGTGAGAGAATGCTTTGCTATGCTTAGTTACTGCTCCTACCTCTTATGTTACTAATGGTGCACCATGTTGTCACATTATTCTTTTAAGAATTGCTAAATCGTGGTTTATAATCTAGCAAGTTGAATGAATCAAGTCAGTTATGATTTATTAATGAACTATGTTTAAATGAACTATGGCTGAGTATGTTGTGTGAAACCATCATTATCTTGTGTATTCTCACTAGTTCCTGTGAGCTGGCTTCTATTTTCTAAACTCTCTGAATACCATTCTTCAGGAATGACCAGTCACCCCCAGTTTGGTATGGTCCAGTTGGGCCTACAATTTCCAAAATTCCCAGGTAGTCATCAAGCATGGTAACTGAGAATTTGGGGACTTGAAATCCCAATGTATTTGGAGGCACTAGATTAAAGAAGACTTATTCAGAAAATATGTTTCGCATTATATGTTGATTTTTCCCACATTGTCTGAAAAATGGCTGTATATGTTTTTCAAACTTTGAAGCATTTTTGAAATCTTATGACTGTTCAGATTCTGTGTTATATAACTACTCTGTGAAAATCTGGATAGCTACTAGATGGCAGCAAGAGATACCAAAACTCTAAACCTTTGCTGCTATCAGCTGGATTTTTGAAGCCCAGACATTGTAGACTTAGTTCAAACAAATAAGAACACACAATGTTTCTCCTAATAGATAAAGAACTTCCATTGACTTACTACTCCTGTATTTCTAGACATCTGTCCAGTACCTCCTTCTGGAGGCTATAACATGACATGCCGCCCTGGCAGCAAATCTAAACTTTCCAACTACTTCTATGTGTTCTTGCTGGGTCAGCTCCTCTTAGGAGCAGGTGGAACTCCCCTTTACACACTGGGTACAACTTTCATCGATGATAGTGTCCCAAAGCACAAAGCTTCGGTTTACATAGGTAAGTTTAACTCAATTTGATTTCTTGAAATGCTAGTTGACCTTGAGTATCTGGCAGGATTGAACATAATATCTTCTTGTGTTTTCTGCTTGTTTATTGAATTGCTTGTAAGTCTTGCAGCTGCTTGGAATCAGGTTGTATTTTTTACAATTGCTTATAGAAGGGCTATGTTACAATTGCTTATAGAAGGGCATTCAGAGGATGACCTTATCCCCAAGGTCTCAGTTCCCACGGAAAGGAGCTTCAGCCCTTTTCATGATCAGCACAGAGGCCTGAAGGGGCCTTGTAAGTGTGTTATACTGAATACACTTAAAAGTCAACGCTCATCTACTTTGGGAACTTCCCAACCAAACATGGGTGTTATCTAAGTGATTTGACCAATCACCCATACCCATCTTCCCCCTTCATACCTTTATGCTCAATGTGCAAAGATCAGAAGTAGAGCTGGCATGCATGAGGATGCTGCTTACCCACAAACATTTAGTTGAACACCTGCCCTGGACTTATGTTTTCTGGTGAATAGGGTTTCATTTAGAGCCTATTTTGGGAGCCTGGAAGAATTCCTTGTAACATTCCATTTGCTCCTTCTCATCTGTGTGAATCAGCAGATAGGAACCTGATGCTGTGCTCCTGCAGTGTTAACCACTGTTTCCTTTTGCTTTGCCTAGCCTCAAACCAATCACTTAGCCTTTTTAGCCACAGAGTAACAGCATGTGAGTATACAAATGAATAACAAGCAAGAATAACAAATATGTCAACTGTCACAACCAGACCCATCATTCCCTAATGCCAACCCACAGAAAACTTCCCATGCAGCAGAAAGCAAATCTCTGATGGTCCATTAAGGCAGTCAGAAAAGGTGGTAAAAACTGTGAAAGAGAAGAAGGTCTCAGTCCCCTCAGTATATTCTGGGTTACTGACTTCTAGAGGAATTTAGAAACTTTGGAACCTCCATTCTCCTTCATTAAGAATTTAGTGCATTCCTGGAGATTCCTCCCCAGCAAGAAGAAGTCTTTCTGCTTCTTCATCTCCTTCTGGCAAAGAAAACACAGAATCTGAGAGAAGTTCATTATCCCAAATTACCTCTCTCCTTTGAGCAGCATCTGGCACTTTTGGAGTAATCCTTCAGATGAGGAGCAGGTGTCAACAAGAGCTCATGACACAATTGATAGATGGAAAAGCACTCCCCAGATGGTTTAGCAGGGATTGATGGATAGATTTAATCTGAGATATTTATATCCCACCTTTCAGACTCCAAACATTACATTTTCCTATTGACCAGGGCTAGGTTGACTCAAAGCTGTTTTGCCTGGCTAATTATATTTATGTGATAAAGGTTCTTGATGGCCTTTGGGTCTTGAAAATATGTTGCATCATTTGTCTTTAGCTCTATGTTTAATGCATTTTAAATGAGCTTGTATCTGGGAAGAAGGCCCATGTAGCATAGCTGAAAGCTGTGCTACTTTTCCCCCACCCCAAACAATATGATCCATTAAGGTAAGGGTACATGAGCTTGCCAGTATAGTTCTTATATCACCGTACACATTTTAACAAGTGTATATGGGATCTATGAGCATGAAACTGAGCAGTCTCAGGGAGGCAGTGAAGGACAGGAAGGCCTGGCGTGATATGGTTCATGGGGTCACGAAGAGTCGGACACGACTTAACGACTAAACAACAAAAAAATATGGGATCTAACATAATTTTTGTGTTCAATTTCCAAAATGCAAACTATTATCTTTTCTACAGGAATTGGATATGCCATGTCACTGCTGGGTCCTGCCATTGGCTATGTGTTAGGAGGACAATTGCTTAATGTCTATGTTGATTTCAATCATAATATAAGGCAAGGACATTTCGTTTTTCATCTACATTAATAATATTAATCCTAGAAATACATTTTTCTTAGTAAGACATTATTATGAGAAACCACATCTTAATGGTATCTATCTATCTATCTATCTATCTATCTCTCTCTCTCTCTCTCTCTCTCTCTCTCTCTCTCTCTCTCTCTCTCTCTCTCTCTC